GCCTCCTTTGCGGCCTTCGCTGCGTTGAGCCTCTTCTCCAGCTCCTCGATGTCGTCGGCGGCGGGGTCGGGGTTGTGGGTGACAGCGTCGGACATGGTGGGGGCAACGGAGTACGGGAGTGGCGAGGAGATGGTGGGGAGTGGAGGTCAAGTTGTGAAGATGCGGACTCCGAAAATTTTCAGCCTTATATCCGTTCAGATCTCAGATCTCGGCCACTTGCCATCGCCTATGGATCTCAGGGGTTCGATCCAGTTGGGAGGCACTGTCACGTTCCGTGCCACCAAGACCACCTCCGAACTCCAGTTCCGTTTTCTCCGTCTCCGTTTCTCCGAACTCCGGTCTAATTGTATTCGCTTAGCCTATCTTCTCCCGCATTACAATTAGCGTACCGCATGGTCTCTATCTTGCACGGACAATTAGCTTATTGTATTCACTCCGGTTACTAACATCTCCGGTCTTCCGTTATTGTTTTCCGTATCCCTTCCTCCGACTTATTGTCTTCCGTTCACAATTAGGACTCTTAGTATAAAAGACCGAACTGTAGCACTGTTGTACTCCAGTTCGAATATCTCGTTTATCCTCGTCTAACCAATCCGACTTCCTTTCCTCCGAACTCCTGTCTGAACTCCGGACTTCCGTCCGACCTCTGTCTAGTTTCTCTCTTCTCTCTCTCGCTCTCGTCTTCTCCTCCTCCTTCCTCCGACTCTATCTCCGGACTCCGTCATAGTCCACCTCCGTCCAAGTCCAAATAGAGGACCTCGTCGAGTTCTCCCAGGGGCGTTGTTAATAGCTTCGCCAAGTCCTCATTCCACTGCGCTCCGAAACTCCGGACTTCGTAACTCCGACCTCGGACTTCGTCTCGAGCGCACGATCCTAACAGCTTCACACAGTACTACAGTTTCGTAAGTTACTGAACAGTGAGAATTCATTGCACAGACAAAGACCCCAGTGAAGATATTGAAGAAACCGCAAACCCGTGGGCGCCGTTCCAGTCCGAGATGGACTGGAGATTCGCGTCATGGGCTGTTCAGGAGGGCCTGAGCCAAGGCTCTGTAGACCGAGCCTTGGAGATTCCTGGGGTGAGTTGACTTGCGTTACAGACTGGTTGGATTGTGTGTAGTACTAACTACTATTGCGACTATGTGCGGCCAACGTACCCTAGTTTCAGGAAAGACTAGGTCTGTCCTATCACAACTCACGCTCCCTGCTTCAGCGAGTGGATTCGCTTCCAGAGCGTGCCGAATGGAAGGAGCATTGGCTGAGCTTCAAGGACCGACCAAACGAGCGCCACCTAGTCCAGTTTCGAGACATCATCAAAGCCATTAGGACTTTGTTGGGCAACCCGGCGCATGCAGGTCAGATCATCTATTGTCCGCGTCGCATCTTCAGTGACGCATCGCGAACCAGTCGCATCTACCATGAGATGTGGACCGGACGCTGGTGGCACGCTGTGCAGGTGAGTGTTGTCTTGTGTTACTTTGAACGTATATGAGTGCGATTGTATTAATGTTGTTCTCAGAGTCTCTTGCCTGACGGAGCTGCTGTTGCGCCCGTCATTATCGCGACAGACAAAACGCAACTGACGCAGTTCTCTGGGGGAAAGTCAGCCTATCCTGTTTACATGACGCTAGGAAACCTACCACGAGCTCTGCGACGCAAGCCGTCTGAACATGCATGTATCCTCATAGGATACCTCTCTGTTGACAAGATCGATTCGGACGGCATTACGAAACGCAAGCAACGCGCCCTCGCGCAGCAATTGTTCCACACGTCCGTACGTGTCATCTTGGAGCCCCTTGTCGAGGCCGGAAGGCACGGTATCGACGTGACCGGAGGGGACGGTGCGGTGCGCAGGGTGCACCCCATTCTAGCCGCGTACGTGGCAGACTATCCAGAGCAATGCCTTGTTACATGCTCGAAGTACGGTACTTGTCCAAAGTGTCAGCTCCCAGAAGACAAGCTTGAATCTCCCACTCCTGGCACGTCACGAACCTTGTTATGGACCCTGGACGTTCTGCGTCTCGCGACCGAGAACAGCAATGGAAAGAAGGATTCGCCCGCGTACGCTCGTGCTTGCAACGAGCTGAACGTCTGCGGATACGTCGTGCGTCCTTTCTGGCGAGACCTACCGTACACGGATATCCATGCCTGTATCACACCAGACGTTCTACACCAACTATACCAAGGCGTTTTCAAGCACATCATCCAGTGGTGTACTGAACTCATTGATGCACAGGAGCTCGATCGTCGCATTCGATGCCTGCCGCCTGCCTTTGGCACTCGCCATTTCAAAAACGGAATTTCGGTGCTTTCTCAGGTCTCTGGCACTGAACGGAAGTACATGACGCGAATTCTCCTCGGGTGCCTGGTAGGAAAGATCCCCAAGAATGCGATTGTCGCATTTCACGCCATACTCGACTTCATCTACCTGGCGCAATACCCGACGCACGACGATACAACCCTTCAATACATGGAAGATGCGCTCAAGGTCTTTCACAAAAACAAGGAAGTTCTCGTCAATTGTGGCGTACGAGAACACCTTAATATCCCCAAGTTTCACTCTCTCCTACATTACGTTGAATCAATTCGCCTCCTAGGTAAGTTTCACTCTCTCCTACAATACGTTGAATCAATTGAATCAATTCGCCTCCTAGGTACAACAGACAACTACAATACCGAGGCATTCGAACACCTTCATATCGATTACGCGAAGAATGGCTGGAGGGCCTCGAAACGCGCGACCGCAAATGGTGATCTGGCTTGCACGCCAGGAAAAGATGGTAATTTTCAGCTCAACAATGCGAAGACAATTGCAGAGGGATGACAATGAAGAAGAAGATGCAGAAGAGTCAGAGACAAGCCCCCTGTTGAACACACTGGCAAGACGAGCATCAAACTGCCGAAGCATCCAACGGTAGCGATGCAGTCCGTCGATCGCATTGAAGACAGACACAACGCACCTGGTTTCAAGAATACGCTCGCACAGTACATCTATATTCTCAAAAACAATTGACGTCTCACTCCCACTCAGCTTCTCACCGCCGTATCTCATATGCCCTTCGATCGGGTAGACGTGTTCCACGGGTTCAAGTTCTCGCCGGAACCCTTGACAGACAGCAAGGAAGAGACTGATGCAGTCAGGGCGCGACCTTCTTTCGGAGAACAACCGGCGCGGTTCGATACAGTCGTAGTATTGAGAGAAGATGATGCCGAGGCTACAGGATTACAAGGTGCGCCTTACTACAGCTTTCTCCAAGATTTCTATTGATGTCTGCTAACAGGAACGAGAATCGGACGTGTTAAAGTCATCTTCAGGCTTCCGAATCACATTAAAGACCCGCGCACTCGTGTTCCCCTGAACGTCCCTGCGTCATGGGCAGAACAAGGACCACTGGCTTATGTAGAGTGGTTCGCAAAGCTCCCAACCACTCCTGACCCTACGCATATGATGTACACAGTTCATAAATCACCATTGTGTTCGGATGGTAAGCCCATTGCAGATATTATTCCCCTCAGTACTATACGTCAGTCTTGCCAGTTGATACCTACATTTCCAGGTTCTGTAGGTGATAAAGCTGAGCAATACTGACTGGAACACTCATACTGTACTAGATGTTGCTTCGAAGTTTCTACTTAACAACTGGGCCAGTTCCTATGCATACCAGACTCTGTGGTAGCTAGTCATACATATAGATCTTGTGTTTAAGACCTCAAAGTGAATTGAAATGCGGCCTTGAAAATTCCGAAGCTTGTGTGACCTCAACTGACTTTTGCGTTGCTGGCTTAAGTGAAAACGTCCAGACTAATGTGTCTTAAGCAATGGAAAGTACACCTTACGCGCTCTAGAGCACCTTAAATGCACTTTGGTACATATATAAGGGCGTAAAGCCTCTGGGAGTACGACTGGTTCTTTTAAAGACCGCTTAAGTTACCTAGGTTTTTCCTGATGTTTCATGCTGCGAGCATATTCGGCGGCATGCACGGTAATGGATACTGCTGTGTCTTTGAATACAGGCGTGTGCCGCAGAGGTAAGGTGAGGTGGAGGGAGACTTGGGGGCGCAAACACGTGGGGATAAACTTCTTGGTGTCGACATGGAAGAAATCAAAAGTCGCATCAAGCGGACCTCGATGGCTCTTCCACACATTTAGCCCACGGAAGAGCTGAATGGTGAGGGGCTGATTGAGCAAGATTTCGATCTCCTCACTGTGTATCTCCCATATGAGAGGGAGGGACAGAGGAGGATGTGCGTCCTGAATCAGACGGCACAGCGTGAGCACAACAAAATAAGATAACAGAGCTACTGTGACTCACCAAGGCAAATACCAACGTCTCCACAACTACTTTCACTGACGGCCCCTGGAAACACTTCGGTACAAAAGCCCTGACGTGACTCTCCAGTATCGACCCCAAGAGTACCCATCCGCCAAGCGTTGCTGGAGGATCCAACAAGTCTATTGTGGCCAGAGCCTGCATCCGATCCTTCCTTGTGCCTTGCTCCACGCTGCACGTGGCTGGACAGACGGAGCAGTCGTTCTTTACGCACTATAATTGAATTGCATGTCAATTCATCCGAATGTAACAGAACAAACTTCACTCACGTAGTCAAACAATACTCCGAAATGCCTTCTCTGCAGGCACACCACAGTGACGTGATTGAGCTCGGGCCCCACGTGAAGACATGGTTGGGAGTAGTGAGCAGCAATTGCATAGGTTGGAAGAGCAGGAGCGAGCAGCCGGAGCACTCGCGGATCTGGGCGAACCATGACGGTGAGGCAAGCAAGCTGAACAAGTGATCTGTATTGTAAGCACGAGGGTTGTTGTGTAAGTGGCACATCCAAGTCTCAAGCAAGAAGAGCTGTCTGCTGAAGTGGGAAGTCGCCGGAGGCGTGTAAAGGAGTGTCTCACACTATGATGGTGGCGAAGTTTCAGTCGCAAGCGCTTGCAAGCAAACCTAGCGGTTTCTCAAACAGTGGAATACAATTATGTAGATACAATATACTACCACAGTGTCTGATAAGCGTACATCCCAGCCCAGTTATTCAGTAAGAGTCGGTTTGCCTCGTCTAGCACGTTCTCCGAGGTCCAATTTGGGGGCACTGTACCTCGGGACCCGTCGGGGAAAGCGGGCACAAGCTGACACAACTGACGTATCTGCGAGAGCAGAATGATCTGCCCAGGCGGAAGGCCATCTGAACGTAGTGGTGGTCGATTTACAGTGTACATGAGGTGGATGGGATCAGCGGCACTTGCAAATCTCGAGTACCACTGGACATAAGCCAGTGGTCCTTTGGGCCACCATGAGGGTGAACATCTGCCGCCTTGGCGAGCCGGGAGCTTCTCAGGCAGCCTGAATATTACCTTCAATCTTGCTGCTCGTGTACCTACAATAAGCCTTGTGAGCAGCAGACATGTGAGGATGAAACCACTGATCCTACCTCTAACCCCTGTGGATTTGGCTTCCCCGTTCTCAAGGGCAATGACGGTGTCAAACCGCGCCATCCTTCCCTTGATAGCTGAGCCGGGGATAGACTTGATGACATCTTGCTCCTCTTTACCATCGGACAGTGCAAAAGGACTGAAGCGGGCTTTGTGGTAGACATCCAGCCAATCAAAAGGTAGCCACGTTCGAGAGAGGTCGTGGTGGTTCAGTCGAAGTTCGGATGGCTGTATATCATTGATGAAGGCAGTCAAGGCAGTGGAGAAACCAGGAGCATTGTGCCGCTCCTGGATACAAGTTAGATGCTGCTGAGGCGCTGGAGGATACTTAGCTATCTTGACATGGTTCCCAATGTCCACAACCTCTTCTAGACAAGAAGCTGCCCCTTCTGAGTCCTCAGGGTTGCCGTCCAAGTCCTCTGATACCTCCTCCACTAGACACTCCTTTTGAAAGGCCTTGTATGCAGCCATCTTCTCTCGACACGTGATCCATTTCATCATTTGGGGGAACTCGTCCTGGTGATTTGAGGTGCGCCACACCTTTTTGGCGAAGTCGATGTGGAGACGTTCGAACATCTCAGTGTTGTAGTTGTCGGTGGTGCCAAACTGGTGGATGGAATCCACGTAATGCATCAGCGAGTGAAACTTAGGGATATTGAAGTGTTCCCGGATTCCAAGCTTGATCAAGACATCTTTGTTCTTGTGGTACGTCTTCAGAGTGTCGGTCATATATCCTAGAGTGGTGTCATCATGAGTCGGGTACTGCGTGAGGTAGATGAAGTCAAGAATCGACTGGAAGGTGAGCATGACAGCCTTCGGTATCTTGCCGACAAGACAGGCTAGGAGGATGCACGCCATTTCCTTCCTTTCCTTGCCTGACACCTGGGCAAGAGAGGATATCCCGTTCTTAAAGTGCCAAATGCCGTATGCGCCTGGGAGACAACGGGAAAGGTTGTTGAGCTCCTCCGGGCTGAGGAGATCCTGGCACCATGAGACCAGGTGTTTGAACACCCCCTGGTACAGCTGATGCAACACGTCCGGGGTGATGGACATGTGGATGTCAGTGTATGGCAGGTCTGTCCAGAACGGTGTCTTCACACCGCCGCTGACCTCTTGTTCCATGCACAGGGTGTCGGCGGCGGTGGGTGTGTTCCCCTCAGCTCATGCCTCCCTGATGATGTGCTCTGTCTCCTCGGGGGTGCGCGGTTCCTTGAGGGCATCATCTTGCAGCTTGTCCACGGGGCACAGGCACTTCGAACAGGTGCCGTACTTCGAGCACGTCACCAGACACTGCTCGGGGTAGTCAGCAACGTAAGAAGCCAGGATGGGGTGAACGTGGCGGACGGAGCCGTCGCCTCCGGTGACCTCAATACCATCCATGCCTGCTTGCACGAGAGGTTGAAGAATGATACACATTGCCGCATGAAAGAGTCTCTGACCCCTTGCCTTGCATTCCCGCTTGCCAAGCTGCTTCTTTCCGATCTTGGTCACAGGGAGATATCCCAATAGAATGCAGGTGTGCTCTGTTGGTTTGCGACGGATGGCCCGAGGGATGTTGCCAAGTGTGAGATAGACCGGGTACGCCGCTTTGTTGCCTGCAAACTGAGTGAGTTGGGTCTTATCGGTGGAAATGATGACGGGGGCGACGGCGTGCTCCCGGGGAATTAACTTCTGTTACTCGCTTGTCAGAATTGTCAGTAGTAATACAGATAATCAGATTGCAACTCACCTGCACCGCATTCCACCACAGTCCCATCCACATCTCCGTGAAAATGTGCTTCGTCTTCGACCAATCCGCTTCGGGCGATACACGATGTACTTCGCGTAGGACGGGTTGCCTAGCAGCGCCTTGATTGCTTCAAGGATGTCTTGGTATTGAATGAGATGCTTCTCATCCGGCCTGTCTGGGAACACAAGAGACAATGTTTTCCACGCTGCCATCTCCGGGATGTCATCAATCTTCATGAAGAGCTCCCGTACGTCTTTGAACGTAAGACCGAGCTTTTCAACTACCTAAGATCAATCACTTGGAGTTAGGGCTGGTCCAGCAGAGTGATATGGAGAGACACGTACACCTGGTATGCTCAGAAACCGATTGAGTGACTTCTGACCAACGTCCTCTCGAACAACCCACATGGCTACTCGCCAGTCGAGCTCGGACGCGAAGGGTCTCCATTTTTGGTTCGGGTCTAGCGGCTTCTGAGCCTCATCTTCGCCGTCCACGTCCATTCGGTCCTCTTCGTCCAGGTCCACTCCTTCTTTGTCCTCTCTGAAGTAGGCCCTCCACGTCTCCACTATTGTTTCCTCCATTCGTATCGCCTTGCCCGCGAGCTCATCCTCTTCTTCAACTCTGGTATCGTCATCATCGTCCAAGGCAGGTCCAGGTGGATTGGGAAATGGCTGGGCTGCAGGGCACCCTGTGGATGATGATGACGAGGCTTCACCCTCAGTTGGAATGGGTGGGTTGACGGAGGTGGGAAGTGTGAACCAGAACAAGTCCCTGGTCTCAAGAACATCGCGGAAGTCTTCCACATCCACGTCCACGTCCATGTCTGTAGCAGGAGCAGCCTTGTGTACCAGCACTGGAATTTCGCACCTTGGTTCCGGATTCTTTCCTTTCCTGTACCACTTGCAAGACTGGGCAGATGATAGGTGGGCCATGAGCCTTTGAGCGGATTTGAGAGGTTTGTCGCATGCTGGGCAAGTGTTGTCCTCAGCGTTACCAAGGGGAATATGCGTCAAATGGCATGACTTTGCTTTGCCTCTCGCCATGAGCTGGAAATATGGCTGTCAATACAAAAAGATTTAGAGCACCGGAGTGTAGTCGCTGGAGCATGCTCACATGTGGTGTGGAGAGGTGTTATGTCCTTCAAAAGGAATAGGTAGCGATATGCTCACCACTCTCGGAGCACCGTAAAGTCACTTGTACCGGCGTCTGATCCCCATTCATTTGACTTATGAGGTAAAGTTCGCCTTGCTTTCCCGCCCATGTCATACTTCCCTAGTTTCCGCATTCCATCCATGCTATTACCTTCTTACCATTCACTGGACCATCTATGAGCATGTTCCTCAAGTGTGTGGTAAGTCTTTCATCCTAGGGATCATCAGTACCGGTTCAGTGACCGTGTCAGTTATTCAGTAATTTGCTTGCATCGACCATAGATGGACTATGGTCTGACTCATGATGGACTGTCTGACAAGCCACGCTCATCAATTGCTGTGCCAGTAAGTAATGTTGCTGTCGTTTGCCAGGGTGATATTTGGTGTGGAGAGTTGTATAGTATGCACTTGCCTTTTATGGTGTGTGCAATGTGTTGCACACTCCCAAGGGACGGCCCATGAGAGTCCGTGCACAGTCCCACTGGCTTTCCCATGGCCTGCGGACCCTCCTTAATACTCATAAGATGGTGACTCATGCATCTTGTGCACTCAGATGGGTACATGCTGATCTGTTATTGCAGTTGAGATACCAACAGTGGTTCAGAGCGGTACGGCAGACCTGCCTTTTTTGGCCTGCATGACACATCAAATGTCGCGCTAGTGCAATGCCCGACTCCTGCCCTATTCCCTTGACATAACACATCGCGGATGATTGTCGTGAGGCAAGAATGCCGCAAGATAGCAAGGCTGAATCGGTAAGTTGCATTTCTGACTCGGAATACCTTGACGGAAGAGACTAAGGCCGTGGTGGTACATGTTCCGGTTTTGGAGTTGTAGCGTGTTTTCCCCGGGCTGTTCCCATGGCCCACAAGTGGCTGACGAAGGTACACTCTTGACTTCGACGCGGGCTGCCGACTCTCACTATGTCTGGCCACCACGACCCCCCCCTGGCGCACTAACTACAGCAGTGATTATGACTCGGACTACGGGTCTGCGCCGTTGGTCCCTGACACAAACGACAGCATTCACTCTTACGCGCCGGACTCAGAGATCTATTCCCCCGACACCTCGTTCGATGCTGACACCTCGTTAGATGAACATGACCCCCGTGGTCAGGATACGCAGAACCTCCGAGACCTGGAGCCCTATGGCTCTGTGCAGAAGGTTGGTGTGGCCTCCACTAACCGGGGGATCCCACACGACTTTTGGGAGCTCTTCAGGCGGGTCCTGCCAGATGGTGATGAGCAGGAGGCTGTGCGCGAGGCCTTCGTTGCGATCTGGGAGCTACAGGAGGAATGGGTGGCTAGCAATCGCAATGGGTTTTTGACGAAGGTGGGTTAATACTATCACGAAACAATCACTTCTTGCTCACTCGGGCTGTTTTGTTCAGTCTATTACCGGGATGCCCGAACAACAGTTCTGGCTGATCCAAGATGTGTTGGCCAGGAGCTGGCAGTGGGACTTGCACACCGGCATACTGAAGCACTGGATCTCTTTCCTCCATTGCTTACAGTGAGTACCAGGTGAAGTGACATTCATTCATGCTGCTTGACGCTGATGTAGCACAGTCTTGATTTCTGGCCACAGGAACGCCGAGCATATGCTATCGCGCCGACATTCGATGATGAGTTTGCCTTTCCCATTGCGTCCACTGTGAACAGATACATGTCTGTGACTGGGTTGGGCTGGTCTAAGGTCACGATGAGCGTGGCACCCAGGACAATAATCAGGAGCCCCGATGTCGAGTTTTGCATCAAATATGGTGTGGTCAGGGTGGATGGACACTGGAACAAACTTGGTAGGGAGGTTTCCGTTGTCACGGTGGCTCAGAGCAGGACAGAATTCACGTATCAAGCAAAGACGGTAGGCCATCTTGTCTTGCCACTGATTCTATTCTCACAAAAAATGTATAGATGGCCGCCGCCGTGTCCTCTCTCAAAAAGCTCGAGGGCTTCATGATGGTGCTTATAGGAGATCTAGGCGAGGGTCATGACAGTCTAGTGTTCATACCCGCGTTGAAGCTCGATGCCGGTATGCGAGTAGAATGTTGTGTGCTGTCGTACCAACGAGAGGAGTTCGTCAGGTTCAAGGATCGAGCTGCTCATGCAGTTGGGTTCCAGGATTGGGAGAATGATACTAATTTCATGGTGAGTTCGCTAAGTCATATACCCCGCTTGCACGGCAGTAACCATGGCTCTTTAAACAGTGTTGGCTGGATCTCATTCAGCCAGGAACAAGTTCACCGAAGACACTGCCTCCTGACGCATTCATCACGTTAACGCTCGCATCCAATCTATCCTCACCTCGCACTACCTTAACCATCTGAAGCCGCAACGCAGGCTGAAGCATCCCCCTCTGCAGTCGAGATCGAAAGATTGGGGACACATCGGTGCCAATCTCATGTCCATGGTGCACGTGGTGTCGCAGCAGATCACCGGCGGACTCATCGGCATAGCCCGCAATGAAGGCAAGGTGTTTTTGGGCAGCAGTATTGGCCCGTATGGTGCGGATGGTTTGTTTAGGCAAGAGATGTATGGGGGTGAAGATTGGGGTCACTAACACATTGAAGCCGCCAGTTTATATGTATATTATTTATATGAAAGTATGGGAAGGCATACTATGTACAGACTCTATGACACATCATATGTGACTGAGAATATACCCAATCAGTTTTTTTTTCATTTTTTGGAGGCCACAGCACAGCAAATACAGTGTCACTGATGAGCTGGCATTCAAGCTCAACTCCAAAGTTTGGCAGCCTGCATGTTCAGGGCCTGTTGAGCTGTTGAACTAAACACAACAGCTTAGGATCCTGTTTGGAGTTGCCAGTTCCTGACAATTCCAGGTGATACTGGTGGTTACAAGACATACAAAGACTCACTGAAAGAGTGGCTTATATCAGGCCATGCATGGGAAACTCTGCACTATCATAGATTTTTTGCCACATGTGAGCCTCAATACATAATATGAATGTATAGTACTCCTGGATTCCTCTCTGATTTTCCTGCTATTTATCCAGCACTGCAGAGGCCATCAATGGTCAACTTCCTAAAATGGGCAAAAGACTAACCATATATAGCAGGTTTCTATGTCTGCTTCAAAGACTCCCTCATACCTGTGGAGTCCTCTAGTAAACATGCTTACCAAGATCTGCTCATATGCCTCAGTATCACTTCTCATGGTCAGTACTCTCAAAGATACCTAATCTGGACACCCCCATCAGTATCCTGAAGCATCCCATGGAGAAGGAATATTTCGGTATTTATTTGGGTATTTTTGCGCATTTAATGGGGCTCTAGTAAGAGCTCAGTTAGTGTGGCTTGAAGCCATCAAAAAAACTCGGCATGAAGAGCTGAGATTGAAAGATTACTTTAAAGAGGAATATTTGTCAGCATCCCAGCCAATGAGAATGCTCAAAATTCCCTTTTGAGTGACCGGAGTCGTCGACAGGCCGGTATGTCGACGACTCCGCTTCGGCAACGGGCGCTTATTTGCGCGCTCAGTAAGCAATGGAAGTGTACACTGTTTCTGCAGCAAAACTGACTTGTTTGGGGCTCAAAAAAGTCCCGGAAAATCGGATAATGTTCTAGAAGATCTGTGGAATATCCCTAAGCATCTTTAAAGTAGAGAGAACCTCAATACATGGTCATTCAGTTGTGGGAAATCAACACAGGCATGTTATGACAATATTTCCCCATTCATAGCAGTGCTGTGCACATTCCAGACACACTCATGCTGTGTGGACTATGTGCATGGTCTATACAGGTCATATCAAATGAGCTTCATACAACAACCTATCCATATTTGGAATCACTTTGCAATTGTCCACAGAGGTTCTCTTTCTGGATTATGAATATATAGGCAAGGCATGCTAGTTATAGACTCTGAGGGCTCTATACAGGATCAATTTCTTACATACAGCAGGCATCATGGATTAATTCAATTGTACATAATATTCCCAGATTCTATCAGCATTTTCTGAGCCCAGACTGAGCAGCTGAATGGAAACTGCCATTCTTGGAAGGCCAGCTTCCCTATATAGCAGATCCCAGATGTCAGAGAATCAATGGGCAGTCTATAGGCTTTGATAGAGTCACTTTGAAGGTTAAAAGCAGTGCACTCATGTGTACAGAGGCATATGTGGGTTTTTGAGTTTTGTGAATTGTGCCATAACCACTGAAGTTGATGGGCAAGTCACAGCAGCTACAGACTCTGTGGCATCATACCTATCAGAGAGAATATTTTGGGATTTGTTGTATTTGTGAAGGCTACAGTACAGCAGATACATAGACTTGAGAGCCTTTGGCCAAATACAGCAAGGCCAGTCAGAGGCTAATTCCCTTAAACAGCATATTTCAGTGGAGTCTGGGAGACTACACTGCAAGATGACTCATCCACAGGTCAAAATTTTGACCTGTGGACGAGTGAACCTCACATGGCATGTGGCTGAGCCTATTGCCCAGACTCTGTGTTTCTGCTATCCCTTTCCATCTCATCCACAAGTACTCAGCATCACACATCAACCCACAATGGGACAATAGTGTTATCTAATATTCTGCTCATTGTCCGGCCATTTATGCAACACTGTAAAGGTGATCTATCATCAACTTCCCAAACAGGCAAGAGATGTACCATATATGGTGATTTTTCATATCTGGTAGCCATAGACCCCTGCATAACATTGTCAGCCTGTAGGACTCTCCAGTAAGGGCAGTAAATGCAAAACAAATTTGTACATATGCCTCTGCATCACTTGCATTGGTCAGTACACTGTGAACAAGCACTGGGATACCTAATTTGGACCTCCATACCTGTGTGCAAGGAGCATTGCATGAGAGTCAATATTCCGAGATTTCTCCACATTTAATGTGCTCTAGTAAGAGTCTAGACAGTGCTGCTGACCACATTGGGCAAGCCATCAAAAAACTCGGCATGGGGAGCTGAGATTAAATGATTCCCTTAGAAGGCAAGGTTTGCCAGTGGTTCAACCAATGACATTGCTCCAAAATCCCTTTTGGGTGAGCTGAGTTGCAGACAAATGCAGGCTGCAGTTGTATACAAGTCTGCTTCGGCAATGGGCACTTATTGAGCACTTAGTAAGTGGTGTAAGTGCAGACTGTTACTGTGTTCAAGGGGCTTGTATAGACTCAAAAAAGCGGAATATTCAGAAGATATTCAGAATGAATGAGGTCAAATCCTTATAGCCTTTCCATGATACAATTGTTGCATCAACTAGGGCAGTATACTCAATAACACAGTGAGATTCACACTCAGTGAGCTCATATAAGCCTATGATCACACTTCAGACAGTGTCTCTGCAGCATACAAAGCCTGACATCATAGTAGCATGGATACATATGTATGGATGACCATTATATATCCCGAGATTGTGTCTATGTGTCTATATGCCAGCTACATGCCACAACTACCATATAGAGTAGGTGTCCTGCCCAAAGAGGAAGTAGGACAAGATGTGGTGCCCATGGAGGTCACAAAAATGCAGAAAATCTGTCAAATATACAGAAGCACCCAATAGGAGAATCTGAGTGCTTGGGATTATGATAGACATCACTACACCATGTACATGGACTACAACATGTGAAAAGAGGGTCAAATGGCCCATTGTGGCTGATTTGGCTGTAGTGTAGCACCCACTGAGTTGTACAGTGTCTGAATCACATATGTATGTCATCACAGACATATGGAACACATCTGAGGCACGAATAGGCACTTTGACATCTGCAGAGGCACATGTGGGTTTTTTATTTTGCATTTGCTGGACCAGCCAGCCACTCTAGCTACTCAATAATGATAGTGTATACTCTCTGAATGAAGGGCTATCAGATCAGTATACTAAGTCCACTCACTATTGTTACTAACTAGGGCTATGGGGCAGCCTATAAGTGTGAGCGCTAGCAGTGAGCTGCCTGGCTGCCAGTCACATGATATGCACACCAGTTGCCATATTGGGCGCCACTCAAAGTGTTTCTTGGGCCCTCACCCCAGGACAAAGCACTGAGCCACAGCATTTATTTGGTGGTGTTGGTGCAAGTCGCGTCATCTGGGAGTCTGAAATTTTGAACTCCGCTAACTGACCATAACAAATGTTAACTATACATGGTAAGCTGGGGGCAAATGAGTGTACCTGTGGGAAACAACTGCCGCATTGGGCGCCACTGAAGCGTTTCAGGCCTGTCCATCATAAGAACAACCCAACTCGCACCGCTTCTGGAAAGCGCGCACCCGAGGGATATCTGGAGCTGCCACGAAGAAGAAGAGTTGATCTAGTGCAAATGCTGACAGGGCTGCCGCAGCGCCGAACCTTGAATCGTCACAGCGCACTCTGGATACCCTAGCTGACAGTGTTCACGGCGAGCAGCAACTGCTGTCTGAGGCACAGCAGCACAATGACGCTCGACGTTCAGACATCATAGCCTGCCAATATGTTTGGGCCCGCCACTACTGGTGCTGCCCCCGCTATGTTCCCCACCACCACCGCCGCCAATACATCTGGGCCTGCCGCCCCCACTGCTACACTCCCCGCCGCTGCCACCAATATGTTTGGGCGTGCCACTGCCCCCGCGTCCACCGCCACTATACCCGGGTCCGCCGCTACATTCCCCACCCCTGCCGCCACTGTGTTCGGGCCCGCCGCCGCTGTCACTACGCCTGCCACCACCACTATCACCACTACTACGTCCTCCACTGCCGGTGTCGGTGGTACAGGTATGTTACCTGGGCCGTTTGCTGGGATGATGCCATTCAGCCAATTCTTCCCTCCCATCGCTAGCAGTGCGTATCCGATGCCACCCACCGGGTACGGGCCGACGTCTGTCTACTCTGGTCCGTCGAGCATGTCAGCGACTGATGCGACGACTCACCGTGAATTCGACACTGGCGTGGAGTGGTATGACAGTGCTGATGCTGGAGATGACATGCAGTCGTATGATGATTAGATGTTGTGGTATCATGATGAATGTCGAGGGCCTGTTATGTGTAATGCTATGATGTATTGTACTTGTACCTGTGATATCAATGTCATGCTTTACCTGTGCTATTGTTGAATGTGTTGTGCCAATGAGTACCAGGTGTTTGCCTTGCTGATAGTATGATGGTAAGGTTGATTGAACCATGGCTTGTACAGCTACTCCATTGCATGACAATGTAGTTGTATGTTACGATCCCTGAGGTACAAAGGAATCGTTCTTATGACTGGAGAGAATGTAACACTTAGCATGGAGCCCAATGTGGCAGGCTTTTCCCACAGTGCATGTGACTGTTTGAGCGCCAGATAATCAAAGATAAGTAACACTTACTATGCTTACATTAGCTGAGTTTCAAATTTCAGACTCCCAGACAACACAACTTGCACCAACACCTGCAAACAAATGCTGTGGCTGACAATTCCCCATGGACTTGGGGCTCCTGTAACATCTAGCTTGGAGCCCAATATGGAAAGTGGTGAACATGGCATGTGACCTCACCAGCAGCACTGGGCTCCAATATAATCAATCACTTTTTGCAACAGTAAGCACCCACAAATGGATATGGCAATTATATAGTCAACTTGTAGCCCTTGTTTCATAGAGTCTACAGTAATTTTGTTGGGCCCCAATAGTGGCTAGTTAGGCCAGGAAATGCAAAATACAAAAAAACACAAGAGACTTTGCAGAATTTGAACTGCTTATTTTCACCCTAGATGTGGAGCACATGACCTATACAGTATAGCCATGTGTGTCAGACATCATGAAAATGCTTTATGGTGCCACAACAGAGCTCAGAATGGGCAAGGTTGGCTGATTTCATGCTTGTACATGGTATTATAGCTTACCTTCCATATATGGTAACATATTGTAAATGGCACATCCCTCATAAACATGTCATAGTGCTCTATGAATATCTTCTGACTTATCTGCAATTTATGAACCACCAGACATTCACTTTATGAAGAATTACTGGATTTGGAAGGTTGCTCACCATTTAGGGCATTGTGAGCTTTTGTGATACTTCTTGTGCAATAAGCCCTCCCACAACTTGCCTGAAATGTACATTTCCATGGTTCACATTAGCTACACATCACTATCTTTGTATACATGTCTCTTTTGTACCAGAACAGGCACAATAGCCAGTAGCCAGTCACATGACCAATGACGTGGGGTCGCAGCAGTTGCAGCGAAAACACCGCCGCTGCGAGTGTTGTGACCCCACGTCATTGGTCATGTGACTTCGAAAAAGCAGTCAAAAATGCGCAGAATATTCATTCTGAGGACAAAACCTAATGATTTGGGCCCAAGAAAATCGCATAAATCCCCAATAAATTGGAGGACCTCTCTGTAGCTATCTTGAAGTACCTTGAGGTTGTATGATACCAATATGTCTACAATTACAAGTGCCACAAGGATGCCAATCAGCTTTCATGGCACAATAGTAACAGTACCACATTGGGTGTTACCTGTGGCCACTCTATGATATCTTGGAGTGAATGCTAAAGATGAGAGCACAACATTTAATGTTTGAGGATTCAGACAGTATGACATTGAGGTAACCAGTACATATGTAGCCTGACAAGTGAGAGTATGCACATCTAACAATATCACTAGACACACCCATGTGTGTGCTCCCAATATGTCTGATATATGCTCACAATCACAACAGATGGGTCTACTATTTTCCCCAGAAATTGCATTACATAGCACCCTGTGCCAATGAGTGTAGGAATGCATACTATGCTAATTGTCATTGATACAGACAGAGAGCACAGTTGAGAAGTTTTCAAATGCCTACAACTATGGAAAGATGCAAAATGGGTCACATAAAGCACTGAGATCCATGAGAAGGAGCATCAGCAACTTTGAATGTCTCACAATAGCATTTCAAGAACAGGACACAGGACACATAAAATGCATGTATGCTGACTAGGCCCACAAAGCATTGCCCAGTGTGAGACTGTGAATGGGAGGGCACCTGCCATATGTAGTAGTAATCATGATTGTGTGATAGCTTCTTCACAGACCTCCTCATAATTTCCATAGCCTTCATATGGAACAAAGCATGAACATGTGCAGGATATTCATTTTGAGGCCACTTAACCTCCTTGTGTAGGCTCAGAAAGAAATCCCAAACTCCAGAAAATCAATGAAGTAATGAATGACATATGTGGTCATTTTGCTCACCCAAAGCTCTGGACTACAGCTGATCCATCTGAAGGAGTGAAAGACTTATGCAGACTGCCTGCTATTGTGCAAGAAAAAAACAGTGATGTTGATGATATAATTCTTATTTACAGGTTCTTGCTCTCCATTGAATATTTGTAAAAATGTCTGGGTCAGATTGTTGCTAGTAACTTGTTACATATGTCTGTAGTGACAGAGACATGCTATGGAATGGTGTTGGGACAAGTGATGAGGAGGAATACAGATGAGAATTCCAGTATACTGTATCTTGACCATGTGACTGACTGTTTTTCCACAGCATGAGCTAAAATTCAGGAACAAGGATCATGAATGTACCAAACTTAACCTGAACAGACTTTGACATTGGGAAGGTCTAGGCCAGTATAGTAACAATTTGTAGGGAAGTATATGACTCCCTACCCAGCTCAAATGGTACAATGAACTCTAATAATTATCATTATTCATTCATAAGCATGCTCTACACAGATTATGTAATAGAAAAGTCTGCCAGTTTGAGGTGGTATCATTGTTCAGTGTTTGAGACAGTAAATTATATCCCAGACATGGTATAACAGGACAGCTTAGCTACAGTTAGGCAAGAGCAACTGTGCAACTGCACATATCATTGGGTAATGGCTGTATAGCAATATTGGCATAGCTACCTGGAATCAATAAATGTTTTTGGAAAGGTTATGGATTGTCTAGGACACTTAGGACTCAGGATTTGTGTTACCACATTAAGGATGATGAGCTGAGCCATATGAATGTAAACATCTCTGTTACTACTATAATACTCCCTGATGAATAAAATTTGGCTTGTGCAAGGTTAGTATTATTGTTAAAGCTTGACAACTGCTTGGTCTAGTCAAGCACAGAAGTTAGTCTCACAGACTAGTATGTATCAATACATAATACATATAATCATTGATAAGTGAGATTGAAGTGATAATTTGATGAACCAGAAAACAAAAGACACAGACAACACAACTGGGATCGTATTGCCATACATGGCCCACCCCCCAGCAAGTATCATATGAGTCATCATTCATCTGCATACTCCTCATCATCTATTGTGTCTTCTTCTGGTTGGTAATCTTTGTTCAATGACTTTAGCAGAAGCCTCAGCAACTGCTGGTGCTTTGCTTTGCCAGTGGCTGTAATCAATCCTGGCCCATCTCCATCTCCATCATCCTCTATATCAACTTCCCTTTGTGCCTGTTCACCTTCAGGAACACCCAGATTTGCCATGACAGAGCGCCACACATTGTCCTGAAGGAGGTCGTGATTATGTGCAAGCTCACTTCTAATGACCATGTTGTGGAGGACAAGGCAGCTACGGATCCACATGACTGCATATGATAGCTTGACTTCATCAGTGATGTTGATCTGTAGCTCCTTGAGTGACTGCCATCGGATCTTGAGAAGCCCAATTGCATGCTCCACAGAAATGCAGATTCTTGACAAATAGTAGTTGAAAGTGCGCTGTCCTGCAGTGAGTTGTTTGCCACGAGGTGCCTTGTATGGGGTAATGAGCCAAGGAGCCAAGGAGTAGGCTGAATCAGCCCAGATCCACTTGTATGGTCGAAGGAGCTCATCATGGTGTTGGAAGAAGCGAGTCTCCTGGAATGCAGTAGCGTCATGGACACTGCCTGGCTTTCCAACAGCATAGTTGGCAATGAGTAGGGAATCACAAGCTACAGGAAGTCTTGAATCAGTACAAAATCAAGTAATAACAAATTGACAGCTAACTGTGAGTTGGATAGCATAGATCTTGTCCTTCCCATAGAAGTCCAGTCCAAAAAACCCAGGTCTTGTGTACAGCTTGATAGGAGTGCCATCTGCAGCAAGGTCTCCATCTCTCCACTCCACAGTTAGGGATTTCATCTCAGCATACAATTTTGCTTGTTGCATCTGTTCTTCGTCACAAAACTTGATCTCCACATCATGATGACCCAGGATGGTGACCATGCAGCGGCGGGAGCAATTGAAAACTGAGCCAATAGACATGCCTGCGCAGTCTGCCAGTGCAACTTCATGGACAGCTAGTGCATTGCATGGGTATGGATAACCCATGTGGGTCATGGGTATGGGTATGCATGGGTATGGGTATGGGTAGCCAAAATCTGACCCATGTACCCATGCAACCCATGGACTTCTGTGGTAATAATTCTGTGGTAAAATTTGGCAACTGTTGATTAGATAGTCTGTGCTATGTTTCTCTCACAGTTCAACAGCTATATGGTGATCCTGAAGCTTGCTTCAAAGTACTTTGCAATAGCAGTATGGGAAAGTTGACAAGTGTTCCCTTTCCGTAATGTCAGCCTTCAAGATACAGTTGGTACTTGCTAGAATTGCATTATATATTTGAGTCCATTTTCAAACATTCAATAATGTTCAACTTATGATTATGAGGATGATTCAGCAAGGCCAACCTGCAGGAATATAAGGAGTGTCAACTTGCTCATGGACGACACACTTTTGCCATCTATCTTGACCCACAATTAACAACTACAGTACTCTGTACATTGTAGTTCGACCAATGCACTGTTCTTTCTAACCTGACTCTCTCCTTGTCCATCTCATCTACCTATCTAGCTCTCCTGACCCAAGCAATACCCTGAGTGACTGGAACCAAGTTTGTGCAAGACCTGCCTATGCCACATCCTGTCTTCTATAAGTAACCAGAAGACAGATTTTGTCATTTATTGTTATGCTCCAACCAATGATACACAGACTATTGAGGTTGTCCTATTGACAACAACAAGTGCATTACAGTGTATGTACCATTATGCTCAATTAAATGCAGTGCCATGTGCTTGGTAGCCCAGTGCAGCTGAGATACTATACTGGCACAAAATATTATCATACTGAATCTTACCATGCAATTGTCCATGCTGAACAGCCAGTAATACTGTATACTTAGTTTCTTGCTAGGTACATGTGACAGGGCCACTCTAGAATTTTAAAAAATCAGTATGAATACTGGTCATGGACCCCTTGAGGTGAGCCTAGACCTGCAGTTCCAGCACTACATTTAGCATAGATGCCTTGTTAGTTAATTTTCTAAATCCAGGATTTCAGCAGAGTGACCAGTGGCCACAGTTACATGCAGGTGGCAGGCCATTGAATACAGTAGGTCTATGATCATGCTTTTTATAAGACATCATGCTCCTTATTGTGTCACTTATCACCTGGCAATGTATTAACTAGGCTTGAATGAAAGTAATTGCATAATGGGCTGGTCACATTCATCCCCTGGCCCCACTTATCATATATTAGTGGAAGCCTGTGACATAAGACAGGATTCAGTGATGATGATCAAGAAATAAATTCAAATAATTCTAATATGATCCTCTTCTCAGGGGCTAGTCTGACAGACATTATCATATTCATGACACAATGCAACATCTTGTCTGTGTTTCAGTTCAATTTTTGTATACCCTGAGATACATTTGTTCTGCTCAATGTTGACCATTGTAATCCCACTACATCTGGGTGATCCAATATGATGAGCTTTAGAGGGTTCTGCCCATGGGATCACTATACATTTTGTGTTGTGATGTGTAAGACTTATTTGTGTATACAGCCTTGCTATTCCCCAAATGTTGTGGTTGTCCCACCTGAATATCCATATATGTTGGAAATATAGGTACAGTAACTGCCCTCATGTAAGTGACTCCCATCTAAGCAATGTGTCCTGGCTTGCAAAAGTGGAAGCTCCAACAATGTTGTGATTGACCATGCAGTCAGTGAAACTCACCTGGCCAGCATGATACCAACAAACACATCCCATATCATGCGAAATTATGAGTACCATGAACTGCACATAGATCTACCCATGATAGTACCCATACCCAAGGGTACCCATGATACCCATGCAAAACCCATACCCATGGCATGGGTATGCAACCCATGTGGGTATGGGTATGGGTATGCCCTCAGACACCCATGGGTACACCCACGCTATGCACTATGGACAGCACCTCCTGTGCCATATCATCCAGCTCGATAGAGGAAGACAGCCAGCTGACGCTCAACATCCATCTGGGATTGGTTGGGGTTGTTATGAAAGACAGGATCATCCTCAAATATGACTGTATGAGACCTTGTATAAGACTACATACCACTAAACACATACCTGTATCCTTTCCAGGATATCCTCAAATGCATATCGTGGCATACACATTTCATGGTGCCATAGGCGCTCTTCATATTTTGCAAGATGGCGGAGGCGTGCAACGATGTCACGACACTCTGCAGGAGGGCGGTAGAATGTCTGCAAATAGCGGCTCTCAGTGATGTATCCTAGGTGTTCCTTCCACTGAGCCTGCAAGTTGTCCAGAGCATGCTTGAATGACTGGTGTATCTTGGCCCTTAGAGCTGCTTGGGCTTCAGTAAAATCTTCAACATCCATGGTTTGGGAGTCTGTCACAGTTAGATCAATAAGAACTATCAATGACATAAGATCAACCACATACCACTGGTGGGCAAAATATCTTCCATGACTGCATCATCTTCATATCCAATAGCACTTGGCACTACAGTAACACATCTCTCAGTCTGGGTCAATGAGCAATAGGACTGAAATAGATGACATACAGGGTGAAAATTCACAATTGTCAGGTGGAATGATCATTATCGAATCATCCACCGGTATACCTGTCTCTTCATCATATTCAATGATCATGTTGATATCCTCCTTGTCAACGGTATCCTCCTCGTTAATGGCTGCCCACTTAGCTACCAAATAAAGGCATGAAGTCAGTAATCAATTGAATGATTTATTGACCTGTCAACTACAATGCGAATATGGTGGTGCAGCATTCGCAGTACAACACACCACTTTTGGTCGGTTGGTTACATAAGTGCCCATAAGTGCCCATATGCGCCACACCATCCTTTCGGGGCCGTTCTCCGAGTACTCTTCCTGCACTGCAGTGAAGCATACGAAACCATCCCTTAGAACGGCCGCGCAGCACTCAACACGGAGTCACTGCAACTGCAATGTTTTTCCCCGCATCCGCGTGCGGGCGCGCGGATGGAACAGTTTGTAAGCGAAGTCACACACCATCCATCGTTGCACAATGATAATTTGCCCACGCCTCCATGAGGCACTGGCATTCGGCGCTGTAGCCCTCATTGACACGGTCGACTAGCTGCTGGCGGAACGAGATGCGAGTCGAGCGTACCCTGGCTGTGGTTGCGCCGCAAGCAGAGGGGTTCATCTCGAGCAGTGGGAAGGGCGAGCAGTGGGAAGGATGTGATTTGGACTCGGACTTGGGTAGGTGCGCTATTATAGGACATCTATAACTGTCATGTCACACTAATCTAGGTTTAATCGCACTTTTTCTTCGTCAGGTACGCCAAAAATACACCACAGCGCCCATAAGTGATTGTTCTTGCCTCCTCCCTTGCGTTCATAGCCGAGCTTTGAGCTATGGTGTGGGACACCTAGCCACCACTACTTTTGTACAGTGGCCAAATCGGTTGGGCAGTGCACCATAAATACAAAAGTATTATATAAATATTCATTCCTACAGTATGACAGTCACCGCGATGTCCCGCCATTGTTCAATGCCACGAAAACTCTATTTCGGCAGTGTCAGAATGATTACAGGCTGGATCGTAGTGTACAAACTCGTCTGCGACAGAAGCTCATTAGATATGCCTAGGCAACCAAAAACAGCTCAGAAAAACCGAAAACAACTAGCTGCAGCTCGCGAAGCGAAAGCGGCAGCAAAGAGACGGTGCGACACTACCACAGACAGTGAAAACTCGGAGCAATCTGACTCCGAGTCAGAGACAAACCTTACCAATGGCCAGGAAGTTGATCTCACCGCAACAACAGACGAAGAGTGCATCTGGGATGGGAGTGTAAACCATCAAGCTTCTGGCAGTGACCTCCGGCCTGAGTGCCCTGGCCCGGGATGCCAGGATGAAGCTGGTGATCAGTCGGATAACGAGGTTGTGGAGTTGCAGGGAACTGACCTCGTGGCGAGCCTTCAAAGAGCTGTTGAGCATGGAGAACAGCTCTGGGCAGAACATGCGAGGCTCCAGGAGATGATGCGACCCATGACGAAGAAAGACTGGATGGTTGTTGAGAGAAACCGAGGGCTGGGATACAACAAACAGTCTGAACGTAGCAGGTGTCATCGCAGACTCGCAGCGCGCCAAAAGGAAGAGACGGATGCAAAGCTGCGTAAGACGTGAGGATTTCCAATATACAATACTCAATTAAAATTTGCTCACCGAGACATTGCAGCGCAGGAGTGGACATGATGTGCTCCTTCCTCAGCCGTACCACTCCGTATCGAAGTTGGTTGCCTCTGCCCCACCAGCTGCAGTATCATCTGTCACGGTGCCAGCAGTCATGCCTGCACAGGTGGCCCGGGGCAGCACGGCCTCTGTTGCAATGCCCATTGCACAACAGAGGATCTGAGTCAGTAATTGCAACTTGGACTGGGAGCCAGCTCAGGCTGGCATCTTTTCCGGCTATCTTTCAGACCTGCCCGACAAATCCGAGCCTGGATCAGACTTGGATGAATCCTCAAGTTCTGACAACGACGACTCGGAGTCGGATCCAGAGCATGGCAACTCACACCAACCTACTGGCAGTTCGCACTCCATGACTCGGAAGCCCGCATTCAAAGTCCGTCCTCCTCCGCCCTTGAAGCAACAACGGCTGTTGGTCCCAGCTCGGAGGGCACGAGACGAGCGGCAAGCCGCAGAGAAGAAGGAGTGCAAGGTGGTGCTCAAAGCAATCCGAAAGCTTCTCAAGTCGAAGCACGAGTTGCTTGAGGCGGGCACAAATGGTCTGCAGTCATATTGTGCGCGCGCCATTCAGGCATGCCTCAAGATGAATGTTGAGAGGGGCCGCAAGCTAATCTCAGCTTCCGAGATTGCAGCGGAAGGGAATGGCTTTTCAGGGCAGTGGGGTAGCCGCCTTGTATGCACCTGGGTCCGGGCGTGGATCAAGGACCACAAGCTGCCCCGTTCTGTCATTGGCAAACATGTCAAGTCCTTTTCCCTTCTCAGTGATCCCTCCATACGTGCCAAAATGCGATCGTACGTGCGATCCAATCGCTGAGCGATGAACCCACAGAAGCTCACCAATTTCAGCCAGAACAAGATGGTCCCTGTGGTTGCAACTGAATACCTGAAGGACATCATGTCAAAGGAGATACCACAGGGCCTCAAGAAGTACCTTGAGCTGGAGCTGTTCCCTCGCATCCACTGGAAACCGGGGAATGGCATCACATTGCACACCGCACATTGCTGGCTCCATCACGAAGGTTTCCGGTATACCGAGCACCACAAAGTGCTGTATTACAATGGGCATGAGCGGCCAGACGTCGTTGACTATTGCCAGAACGTATTCCTGCCGCAGATGGCTGCATATCATGACCAAATTGTCGAGTATGTCATTGGCGATGTTGAGAGAGAAGCCGACAAGATTTCCCTGGGCATCCAGAACTGCGTTGATCGCCGAATTGTCGTATGCTGTCATGACGAGACAGCTGCACAAGCCAATGATGGAGAGAAGAAGGGCTGGGTCTTTCAAGACGAGTATCCGCTGAAGAAGAAGGGCCAAGGGTGTGGTGTTCACCAGAGCGAGGTCATATGCTCGACATATGGCTGGTTGCGCAAGGCAAGCCAAACACTTGAATACAGCAAAAATCATGAAGGATATTGGACGGGAGAGTTATTCGTGAAACAGGTGAGTACCCTCATTGACGTGCTCAGATCCAGAGCTGACTGTTGTTTCAGCTGAAGGAGAAGATAATCCCCACATTCGAGCGGCAACATGGCGCTGGTCACCGCATGCTGCTCATTGTTGACAACTCACAGGGTCATTCCGCTTATGCTGTGGATGCACTCCTCACTTCACGCATGAACCTTCGGGAAGGCGGCAAGCAGGCTCATCTTCGTGATGGATGGTATATGCACAATGGACAGAAAATCATCCAGTCAATGTCAAATGACCTTTCCACCTGGCCACAACAAGTACGCAGGACAGCCCAAGGGGATGAAGCAGGTCTTAATTGAACAGGGATTGTGGCAGCAAATGCTGCGCATGGAGTGCCCAAAGCCGGAGTGTTGCAATGTGCGCAGTACCCAATGCTGTGCGAGACAGATTCTCAATCTTCAGCCAGACTTCAAGGTGCAACACTCACTCGTGCAAGAGACAATTGAAGATGCAGGCCATCTGTGTCTCTTCCTGCCGAAGTTTCATTGTGAACTCAACCCAATTGAGTTTTTTGGGGTGTGGTGAAGTGTTATTTGCGCGAGCACTGTGATTATACATTTGACACCCTACAGGCAAACATGCCAAAGGCAATGGCTTCAGTTGACATCAGAACGATCTGTCTCTGGGAGCATCACATGATTCGATGGATGGAGTTATACAGGCTTGGCATGGGTGCAAAGGATGCTCAACTGCACATCAAGCAGTTCAGCTCGAGGCAGTATAAGTCCCATAGACGTGTTCCGGAGAGCCTCGCTTGTCAGTTTGATACTGCACCAACTTAGCGCCCATTTACCTACTGCTTTAGGATATGATTACATAATGTGGCCAATCTCGGCATTAACAACTTCACCAATATGAGATTTAAAAATATTCTGCTCTGGTAGGAAATTCTTTCTATCGAAACGGAGTCGATCTACCAGAAAAGAACGGAAATCGGAGGCCTTGTGGACCTACCATATCCATTGTACAAAAGTAGCGGTGGCTAGGTGTCCCGCACCATACGCTAATATGGTTCTATTTTCGTAATGGTCACGCTACTGACAGTCTCCAACAGCTGTTTCTCCGCCACTACCACCTGTCATTCCTGTCAACTTCCACCTCCTAGCACCGTGTAGGTGACCCTCCCACACTGTGGGAAGGGGGAAGTATGAAATTCAGTGACTGTCGACATTTGTTTTCAGTACCTTAAGCACTCATTTTTCCAATACAAGTGTGTCGAACATTGAAAATGAGTGTTGGAAATCAGTGTTCTCGTACACTCACCAGGCGACATTTTGTCTATTGTAAATGAGTGTTTGGATGTCTGAAATTCCTCGTCACACGCGGTCATTTTTGTTGTGAAATCTACATACTTTCCACCATGTTTTTGAGTCATTCCCATAGCACCACTGCAATGGATTTCACACGGAATTCACACCGGATATTAGTGATTATGGGTAGCATTAATAGCAGTACAGAGCGGCTTCATATTCTCGTATGACTACTGCTGTAGCTGTAATACTTGATCTACCAGCATGACACCAGCTCGACACGTATACGGCAGCGGTGCCATGGCGATGTCAGAATAGGGAACAAGACAATGGGTGAGTTAGACAGTGACAGCAATACAGTTAGATGGCGATGTGCAGTAGTACTTTGACAGTTCATCATGTCAAGTGATTGCGGAAGGCGACGGGAATGTCGAGAATCTTGAGACTGACAACGAGGCATAGAGTCGAATAAACACGAGTCAAGGAGGCACCACCGGACTTACGGTGCGGCGGGCAGCCTCAGAAGTTGTAGAACATAGGACAGGTCAAAGACAGACAGTGAGGCAAAGCAGTGGTCGAGGCGAGAAGCAGCTTGAGCGAATTCGGTCGCCAAGAAGACATGGCAGCGAGCTAGAGAGGCTGAAGTGAGAAGCAGTGCAAGTGAGTTGGGTCGCTGAGAGACACCGGCCGTGAGTCAAAAGGGGCAGACAAGAGGTCGACAGCAGCGAGTGACAGACGAAATAACGGTGGCCCGGTAGGATTGAACCTGCAGAGACGACTTGGGCACAGAGGCGGCTAGTAGTAGTACAGATGCAAAAGCGGTGGAAGTGAACTTGCAAAAGTGAGCCGTTGGTAGGTTGAAGCGTGCAGAGATGAGACGGCAGGTAAAGGCTGCAGAGCCTGACTCGAAGACGAGATGATTCGGCGGCGGGTATAAGCTGCAGATGATGAGACATGGATCAGTGTACAAGGCGCAGAGGAGGGACAGGGGCGAGCCACGGCTCAGCAGAGACATCAAGGAGATTGTTATGCACGTACATCAGTTCAAGGATGCTCTTTCGGAGCCTTCTGAGACCCGGCGGCGGACACAGAGGGAGCCTATACCAAGACGGCCACCACCGAGTCAATCATCAAGGTAGCGATGTCGCTATTGCAAACAAAACTCATACAAGAACATGACTCATTGCTTATCAGTGCGACATGCACATTGGAGTCCTCGTAATTGATCTTGACACACTTTGTCCTAACTGCGAGAGGTTCTGAGTCCGAGTCTGGAGTTATTGCGTCTGGCTTCAAAGCTCGCTTGCGCTTAGCTGTGCGTGGCTTTGGTGGCGGTGGTGGCTGCATCATACGGACATCAGCTACTCGCCCACATTACTGCAAAATTTGTCCTAAATGCCACGTGCGTCACTCGAGTTTATGCATCGGGCACCATCCCGATGGTCAAAGCACGATGTTGTTCTCCGGCGTGTTATCTGCCAAGAAAAGAGTGACTATATGTGTGTGTGCAGTTACCTATCTGTACCATCCACGAAGGGCCGGAAACGGTGTAAGGCATAAACCAAAGAACTTGAACAGTGACTTACTGGATTTTGCAACAGTGAGCTTACAGGTCGATCCGGTCGCACGATCGCAGCAGGACAGAGGCCGCAATCAATGAGAATAAGTCAGGAAGCGCGTCGAGGATGCCGCCGCCACCACGACGGCAACAGCGAGGGAATGGGAGAGGAGACTGAACAACATTGTGCGCAGCGTGAACAAGTGTTGGAGCGACGCGCATCAGACTTCCAAAGTTGTAGTTGTGTTGGTCACGCTTCATCACGTGCAGTGAGCAAGTCAATGCACAACTATAGATATATATGCACACCGAAAACAGCGACACGCAATCGATTCCATGTCTCAGTTAACAGTGAATCATGCTGTAACTAGTGGCTGTGGTACAGTGTACCAGAATGACTGGCCTGGATTGAAGTCAGCACCTTCTCGAACTGGTCCTCACCTCAATTAGGCAACTCGCCGACTTCCAGGGTCCGCCGACTTGCCGGTTGTACTCAAGTAGCTTGTGTTGAACTTCCGACTTTCCAGTGTTATCTTATCTTATCAGTTACGTACATATATGGTCTTGTGTTCTGCGATGTAGTATTACATACATTCTTTTGATGGACTCTGTCTGGACTCATCTTGTGACTCACTCCAGACCGATCTACACTGTTCCAGACTTATTCTGGATCATTCCACTCCCTTCCGGCATGTTCCATGACCTTCCAGTACATTCCTTGATCACATGGACGCTTATGCATATCCCTATCTCTGGAGTTAAGGCTTACTCATTTCCCTAAAACTCGGACTTAGTGATTACTGATCTGCTTACTGATGTAGCATGTGATCAGTCCCAGACATGTATATATACTGGGGTGATTCCCCCCTAATGGATAACGATCTCTCCTCTCTTCTGCCTGCCTAGCATCAGAGTCTTCCCTCTGGGATAGGTCTGTTCACTCCACTCTACTGTCCTTCACTTCCACTGGCCTAACAAGCCCTTCTAAACCTCTTTCACTTCAACAGGTTATGAGCCCCGCTCTCTGATCGTTTATATCACCTGTACCTTTTGCGCAACCAAAGCCCAACTCTTGAAAGAGTGAGTTGGCATATTTTGTCCTTATTTGGACTACTGTTTAGCCGCTCTGTGACAAGTGCCCAAAGCCTTGTCCAAGCGCATTTCCAGGGTAGCTCGCAAGAGCAATTACGAAGTTTTTCCACCGTCTCGTCGTGAGAGATACGACGTAGGCGACACCGACACTAGCGCTGTTGCTGAGCGTCATCAGCGTTTATACGGTCATCTACCCATCGATCGCCAGATCGATATCATCCTCACTCCTACCCCGCGCCCTTGCCGTCCCACCTATCGTCGCCCTGACACCTCTCGTCCCCCGAAGGTGTCCTGTCGCAAGACCCTTGAGCAGCAGCTTGAGGAGCTCCAGTTGAAGGCAGACGACTCTAGGGCACTCCTTGAAGCTCGACGTGCGGAGTACGCTGCTACGCTTGCCACTGAAACCACCACCAAAGAAGCTGCCAAGGCTTCCCTTATCGCATGCATCGAAGGCGTACCTCTTCCCCTTCCTATCACAGCCCTTAAGCTGTTTGACGCCGAGAAGAAGTCTCCGAGGGAGAAGGCCGCCATCCTCACGAAGCGTCTCTTTGCTGTTCAGAAGCACCTTCACCCTCTCTTCACCCACAAGCTGCGCGACACTGTTCGTTGGTTGCTCACCGACAACCTCAACACTTTTGGACGTCGGTTCAATTGGGTCTGTTCTCACTTTGAGACAGAGGGTCATTTGTGGTTGCACGACGCGCTCAACGACGTCAAGCTTGTCTGCGAGCTGATTGGGAAGATCTCCTTCAAGGAGCTTAGCAAGAACCTTTCTAAGGTTACTAGGGAAGTTGGGGACTTGCACAAGGGCAATCACTTGGCTTGGGTAGACAAGTATTTGTAGTCGCGTCACAAATTTTATCTTTGTTCCTGGAATATTTTTCAGTGAAGCATCACAACTGTGGCAACGTCTCAAGAGGAGACATTTGCAGAGACTCAGGTCTCTTCAGGCGAAGAGTCAGATGACTCACACGATTGTTCAAACCACTACCATCTATACGACTACTAGAGACAACGATCAAACCTGGTGGAACTGTGACAACACTCATTGTCCAAACCGTTACCACACACCATCTGGTGATTTTCCTCGAGGCTTCAAAGCTGGTATCGCTGTCGAAGCTTGGCAAGACAATTTCCTATTCGCCAACGAATTTTCGGAGTCACCTCCAAAACCTGAACATTTAATCTCGCTCCCTGAGTCGAGATCTCAAACACCTGAACCGGAGGAATTACCCTTCGAGTTATTTACACCAGAACCTCCTTCTTCGCCCGACACACAAGGCAAATTTATTCTCTTATCCGCAACCATGGGTGACGTCAAGCCAGACAATATCCCTAAGCTCTCTTCAGCGTCCCAATACGCTGACTGGTCTGCCGCTATGTGCGGTTATTTAATATTCATAGAGGCCTGGCCCGCTGTTATTGCAACAGTAACTACCAACACAGAGTACAAGAAACAGAATGCCCGTGCTCAGGGTGTTCTATTTATGTGGACTGATCGCTCGATGCATCATTTGCTCGAGGGATCTAGTGGTGAACTCAAGACCACTAAGGAAATGTGGGCGGCCCTTAAGACAGCCTTTGGTACACCCGACACGGCATTCGTCTGGAGTCTCTTCCGGTGATCAAGTCTCCGGATGTCTGATTCCAAACCTCTGCAGGATCAGATCAACAAGCTGGTTACTCGGCTTAAGGAGATTATGGCTGGTGGCATAACTCTTGGTGAATTGACCCAGGCTCTTCTCCTTCTGTCGAAGGTGCCTGAATCCTATCAATCAATGATTTCTGCGCTCATGGCGACGCAGAACATCAAGGATCTCAAAGTCGACTCTGTTCAGTCAAATATTCTTGCCGAAGAATCTCTCCGCCGGTCTGGTATGGGACAGTCTGCGTCCAAGACATCCCAGGTCAAGCACAAGTCATCGGGTCCCTGTGGTCACTGCGGTGGAAATCACGGCAGTGAGAATTGTTGGACAAAGTACCCGCATTTGCACCCCCAAAATAAGGGTGGCGGCAAGGGGAAAAAGGACAACAAGGGCAAAGGCAAAGGGAAGAATAAGGGCAAGGGCAATGGTAACGGACAATCTGGTTCTGGTTCCTCCAACACTGCTACTACTTCGGACTCCACAAATGTTGTAACTGTAGAATCCTCCGTGTCGTCTTCAGCTAATACTATGACTGCTTCCTGGTATACTGCGGGTCACTCCGCTTCTGGAAGAATGACTGACTGGATTATGGATTCTGGTGCGTCAAAGACAATCACCAACAACATGGCTGATTTTTGGGACTATACTCCTTACGAGGAACCCATGATTTTTGGTACAGCCAGCAAGTCTAAGATTGCAGCTTATGGAGAAGGGACCATCAAAGGTGTTGTGCACATTGAAGGGAAACATGTTAAAGCAACTATTACGAATGTTGCTTACATCCCTGCCGCATCTGGTCGCCTATTTTCTACTGGTGTTATTGAGCAATCAGGTTTTACCCTAGTTCAGGGAGGAGGTCGTATGGTCATCTATGACCAACCTATTTCGCAAGGTCGAGTCTGTGGTAACATGATCATGGAGGCACACCATAAGCCCTTCAATAATCTCTATATGTTGTACCTAGACATTTTGACACCGCAATCGGCAAAGTCTACAGACAAGTCGAATTTTCATCTCTGGCATGAACACTTCGGACATTCGTCTGAAGATGTTATTCGTCAGATTCCCAAGCACACTAAGGGTGTGGATTCCATCGGTGCCAAGGATACTTCTTCTCCTTGTGCAGGGTGTCAGTGGGGCAATTCTCATCGTGCTCCATTTCCCCCATCGGCTAAACGTGCTACAAAGCCCCTTGAGCTCATTCACTGTACTGATGAGGACGGTCCTATGCGTACCACTGCAATAGGTGGATGGCGTTATTTCATCAGTTTTCTTGACGACTATACTGGTCTTGGTCGTGCCTATTATCTCAAGCACAAGAACGATTCGATCCAAGTGTTCAATGACTTCAAAGCATGGGCTGAGAACCAAACAGATGAAAAAATCAAGGCTGTACGCTCGGATCGTGGGGGGGAATATACGTCTGCTGCTTTTACCGAACATTTGCGCAAATTTGGTATTGAACATCAGTTCACAATGCCGTACTCTCCTCAACAGAATGGGAGAGCTGGAATCGGACCATTGTCGAGAAGGCTATGTCTATGCTGCATCATGCTGGACTAAGCCATGGTTTTTGGCAATTGGCTGTGGACACTGCGGTTCATATTTATAATCGGCAACCTATGCGACGCCTTAACTGGCAATGCCCCATTACTCTCTGGAATGGCACAATTCCGGACATTTCATACTTTAGGATTTTTGGGTGCAAGGCATTTGTGCATGTGCAGAAAGAACAGAGATCTGGGAAGCTCGACAAGAAGGCTGTTGAGATGATCTTTGTAGGCTATGAAGTTGGTTCCAAAGGGTATCGTTTCTGGAACCCGGCTACTCGAAGTATTGTTGTGTCTCGTGATGTGACCTTCGATGAAGAGACATTTCCTGCACGAAAGGACTTAGGCAATAATCCGAAATCCCTGGATGAGCCGTTTGATGAACCTCCTGAGGATGCCAACTCAGAGGATTTAGATTTTGAGGATATTCCTATCCCTGTTCTTGTCCCGCCGGAACATGAACCTGAAGAACATCAGGAGCCAGTGGGAGATAATCCGCAACAGCAACCTGATCCAGTAGCTCCTCCGCAACCTCAGTATGAGTGTCCTCGCCGTCAAGGTGCTGGACAGAACCCTCAGAGGAATAGAGACAATGCCTATGGTGACGAGCCACCAGCAAGTATTGACCGTCGTACTGATAGTCAAGGCCGTCAACAACCTGAGGCTGAAACTGCTCAATTTATATGGATGCTGGCGGAAGCGAACCATGGTCTTCCCATGATAAATGGCTTGCTGCTGAAGGTTCTGAGTACAAGTCACTCATGGACAATAAGACTTGGGTTCTAGTTCCACGGCCTAAAAACCGGAAGGTTGTCAAGTGCCGTTGGGTTTATGCAATCAAGCACGATGGTCGCTATAAAGCACGTGTTGTCGCAAATGGATTTACCCAAGTATGGGGTCAAGATTATACTGAGACTTTCTCTCTGGTTGCACGGTTTGAATCTGTACGCTACTTGTTGGCACATGCAGCCCT